TGTCTGCAAAAAAATCTGTTTTAGCGCTTGAATCCACGAAAATTCTATGCGCCACCGAAATTACCTCCAAACTTCCGACCAGCTCATCGCCCAGTAGCTCCAGCTGCCATCAAACTGCCACCGGCTCTGCAAGATGCAATGAAGACACTGACAGCAATCCAGCGTGCGAAGTACTGAATTAGCTTGGGACATCAGAGATCTCCCAAAATTGTGAGTTTAGATTGCTTGGAGAGGATCGAGTATCTGTTATGGAACTGGTAAGCGATAAAGATCGTAAACGTCTTGAACAACATCGAAGCAGATGGGACCAACGGGAAAGGCCAGATCATAGAAGAGAAGATACAGGCGGCAGCAAGGTTGTGCATCATTATTTCTACACTAGCTTTGTTTTACCGAGCTTTTCTATTTAGGACCGAGTTGAGTTCCCCAATGAACCTATGAAACAGTCGAGGTTCAAAGAGTACCTGAAGTATCTACGAAGAGGTAAGAATGCTTATGTAAACCTGTAAGCAAGTCTAAAGAGTCACTTTTGATTCCTAGGACTCGTACTGCCACAACCGAAAGAGTTAACTGTATGGGAATGGGAATCTGAACGTAAGGAGTTTGAAAAAAGATTAACCGCTGAAGAGAGAGGAATGTTACCCGAGGTCAGTGTTTGTTTACCTTGTATTTTCATCATTCTTCTAAACATGCTTATTAATGAATACTGGATGACAGTCACATTTGCGAAAAGTATCATCTCTCAGTTTGAAGATAATTTTCTCTGTATATTCCTTGCTTACACACGCCATTTTTAGGTCCGAGCAAGAGCACAACCTTTGGCGAAATCTAGTCTGGCATTGCCAATACAAGAGCTTCTTCAGAATAAGTTTGCTAAGGAAACTGGTACTTCCGGTCATGTAAGTGTGCTATCATCATTCTGTCAACATCACTCCATTTGTGCTTGAGTGATCTCATTTTCAGTCTGCCAAACATGACAGCGACAAAATGGCAGCCGTCAAGATGGGCATGTTTGGAGACAGAACGCGGACAACGTTTCAGTGGTTGGTGCTTCTTTAGGTTATCAACTTCTGCTAAAAGTAGACATTGTTCAATTGTAGCCTTGTCACTTTTGGGCCGGTTTCTGGTTTAAGCAATGCGTCGTTGAGTATGGGTATTTTTAGAAAGCCTGTAAGCAGCACGTTAATAGTAATTGGTCTAACGTTCCTTCCCATACATTCTATGAGAACGGTTTCAGTGATTGTTAGTGCACATAGATGTTTCTCTTCCATACAGTCGTTATTGGTGCTTGGACGTGTTATATTTACTCGTTATAGGTATCCCGACAATGTTCTTGCGAAACGATTCAACATTCCGAATCCTTACCCAGGTGCTGGAATGGTTGGTGTGCCTCACCTCCAAAAAAGCACGAAAAAAGAGACTTTACTCAATCTTGGTTTGCCTCAAACTGCCAGCGAGATTGCTCATAGGTAATATTTAACAGAATGAAATCGTTTTGGGGCCTACGAACTCGTACTTTCCAGAAGGGCTCGCGAGATAGAGCATCTTGAAGAGGAAGAGGCTGAAGAGGCGAAATCGAAGGAGCTGCGCGATGATGATTTGGACAGACCACCTCAGAATATCTTCGATGTCATATTTGGAGAGAGCGACAGTGA